TCGCAAAGGGTAGTAAATTTGTTGGGTCAATAATGTTGGGTGTACGTATATTTTTTTACGCTTTTTAAAAAATGTCCGTTTTTTTTTTCCGAGGCCATTACAGTCAATAGACTCGTTATCGATTTTATGTCTTTTTTTTTTTCGCCCTATCTAACGATTATTAACCATCTTCGTCGTCGCACGAAATTATGTCGATCTACGATACGCGTATCAGCAATTATTTTGTCGGTAAGAATACCGCACGATATAATTATTAAGTCTAACCGATTTATTTTCCAAATATATATATATATTCTGACTATTCGAGTTGCAAGCATACAATATTCTCGATCGGAAGGTCATGAAAAAAAAAAAAATAATAAAAAAATATAAGGTTCGAATAAATATATACGTATCCTCCTCGGACAAAAGAAATCGTTGGCAGACTGTTTGTGTATATAATATAATATACAAAACCCTGTTAGTCTCCCCCTTTCCGACCTTTCTATTAGTTCAGTCTGAGTATTCGTTCTAGGGTTCGCACAGGCTGACAAGATCCACAGAATTTCGAGTTGCAAGCATACAATATTCTCGATCGGAAGGTCATGAAAAAAAAAAAAAAAAAAAAAAGAGACGTCTTAGGATAATATACATAAGTGCAGCCACTGGTAATTTAATGCAACGATTGTAAGCAACGATAAGCCATCGTTAAACCTAACCTAACCTAACGAAAAAAAAAACAATTCTGAGCGCAGTTCAGTTGATAGTGATGCTTTGTCAATAATTTAATGTTAAATTATAGTAAATAATTAAATAGGTATTTTACTGACTTTTCCGGTTTTCCCATGTTTTTTCCCAGTTTTTAACATTTTCTGGGAAAACTCTTGGGAAAATCAACTCATTAAAGTACCACCTAGAGTATTTCCTTTCAAAAAAAATTATATACTTGATAATCGGAATAAGCTTTCTGGTAGAAAAATTGTTCACATAAAATCTCGAAATCTCGGTTTAGTTCATATATTTGTTTTTTTTCGGTCTGCCCCCTCCCCCATGGTCATTTTTCTTCGGATTTCCATTCTAGTGCATCCTTCATTGTGATTTCATTCGATCCCCGTACGTATTCTAGCTCATTCCTCTAACCCTACCTTGTTTATATTATAGACGGGTTATAAGTGAATGTCGCACAGATTATACGAACTGTCTTTTTAGCTAAAAGTAATATTTTTCAAAAATAACTCAATCGAAAAGAACGGGTAGAATAATAAAAAAAAATACGACATAGAAATACGACCAACCGACCAATAATATTATACCACACCAACTGTTACTGTTGATGATAGGTTCTGAAAAGGTCAATAGTATTTTAGGATTATCGATTTTCGTCTATAAGCACATATGGTTCGAATTGTCGGTATAATAATAGTATGCGTAATTTTCAAATATTGTCGGTACGCAACAGGCAACACAACACATTTGATGATTGAGAATAAGTGAAAATATTTTTTTTCAATATTATACGGACGGTTTTTAAGAAAAATGGATTAGGTCAAAAACAGATATTTTACAGGAGAAACAAACGACTATTTGTCTTTTTGAATTTCATATTTTATGTCTTTATGTTTTATAATAATATATTTGTATACAATTATGTATGGATTTTATTTAATTGCTATTTATTTGTAATAGTTTCACCGACTTACTTTTTACGACTTGCACCATTTCTAATTCGATTTAAACCCTTTTGCACGCTTCGTGTTATTCGTATTATAACTCAAGATAAGTTTGAAAAATTGTACCCGTTATATAGGCATTCGAATTGAATGTCATTCAAGTTTTTACATGTATTAATTTATTACTTACTCTTATTGAATTATGATTTATATAAAATATACTGAAATGATATCCGTGCCTACGGGTAAATTAATGCCACGCCAGTGCCACACAAATCGACTTGCGGGCTGTTAAAGCCACGTCAGAGGTCGAATAAACCCAGTGAGCATTCATCATGCTCTAACCAACGTACATACCCAAAACATCGTAAATTATGTATAACAGTACGTAATGAATAAACTATAATTAATAATTAATTTCAGTCCAAATTCATCAAATCTAAACATAGTATAATATAATTAAATTCCTAATCATAATTCAAGAGAAAGGAAATTAATACGCGTTCCAACTTGAATGACATTTAATTCGAATGTCTATAATACCTCGAGTACAATTTTTCAAACTCATCTATGCTGAATATATAACACTTATGAATTACGTGTTTAAATGAAAAACATTATTATTATTTTTTTATGTGTCGGTAAAATATTAAAAAGTTCAAGTGTTATGATATTGGTTGATACATTATCTATTTCGGACAGTTATATGAATAGCAAATTTGAATTGTTTAATAAAATAAACACAATAATAATTGCATAAACGGTGGTTTTTATTTTAGGTGCAACAACAGAATGCGTCCAGACGTATCTGGCTATTGCGCCAATTGATAGAGAATTTCTTTCCCAAAATGTTAATGGAAAAAATGTCTTCTAAAAATGTTTGCGTATGTCTCGTTATTGCAACGGTGCAATTATTGACTACGTTTTCAACTAATAACTGAATACAATTTGAATTTTCAACTAATATCTAACACATTAAAAAATCATTAAGTAAAATTTCATTAAAAAAAAAAAAAAACTATATAAAGGTAGCAGATACTCCTACATACTATGTATAAGATACGATTATATTGTTATATATTATACTAAATATATTGAATTATATTTATATTAAATTATTATGTTTTATTGGACCCCTGTTTGGACAAGTGTAACGATCCGATTTTTTCATATATAACTTTAAAAGGGACGTCCTAGGATAATAGGGTCAGATGCAGCCACTGTTATAGATAATTTCTTGTATATCTGTAAGCAATGATAAACTATGGATAACGAAAAAGCGATTCTGAACGAGTTCAGTTGATAGTGATGCTGTGTCTAAAATATATATGTCATTTTATGGTAAAATAATTAAATAGGCACATTATATATTTCCTTTAATAATATTTGTTTAATATTGTACCAATTTTGCCGATTCTCAAATGTCTTTTCCCGGCTAATGACATTTGTTGGAAAAACTCTTAAGAAAATCGAAAAATGACCTCTCTAAAGTACCTCCTAAGTCTGATATCTTTTAGAAAAAGTTCTATCATTGTAAATCACAGCAAAATAACCGTTAGAAAAGTTGTCAACAGAAAAAAAAATCGTATTATTTTAATAATGTATTTTGTACTTTTTCCCGTTTTTCAATATTTTTCCCAAAATCGAAAAATGACTTCCCCAAGTTACCATGTAGATAAAATTAGTTTTTAGAAAAAAAGCTAAACTTGATACATCGGAGCAAGATTTCTGGTAGAAATTTTTGCATAACAAAATGAGGGGTATTTGACGATTAAAATAGTTCGAACCAGAGATCATGCTCAGATTTTTAAAATTGCAATGAATCGATAAAAAATGTGTAAAATTAAAATCAATAAACATCTAGTCGTGCTTTATTGTGATTGTGGTAGTTATTTTGTTTATACCGATATACCAATGATTATTATATTTTATATTATATTACAAATCATTAAGTAATAATTCAGCTGAATCAATATGCTATGAAATTCAAGCATTTATTATTATAGCTAATAGAGATAATATTTGTCCAATAAGCTTACGATTTATACGATTTCGGCATAATATTATCTTGCCGTTGTAATAATATTATTTAATGTCAGTTATCATAGATATTTGTTTTAACGTCTGATGCGTCAAGTCATAAAGCTTCTAATATTGAAAACGATAATCTGCCCAACAGGGAAACCCGATACTATTGATTTATAATAATATTGCAGTTATAATAATTTTTAAGTTTATGTTTGCTCATTCGAATAACATAACGATGACACATTGATAAATACACACCTTTATAGTTTTTTTATATTATCGTGTTAAAAACTGTTTATTTTAATAAACTTGTTTGCTATAATTGTATCATTACGTATTAACGATCGATTGGATAACTAAAATGCATCGCCAACTATAGGTGTGTTATGATGGGATACAATATTAAAAAATGAAAACATCACACGCGGAGAGTAAGGCGGCATGGGAAGGCTGAAGGGCATAGGTAGCAAGTTTGCGGTACACCCCATAATGATTATTTTCGATACTGGCCACACTGTGTTCTAATCGAGTGTGAATATGTAGTTAAAAACTGATTATCATATTAATTAGTTAAAAAGATTTAAAAAGACGTTGAAAAAATAATAAAACGTAGGTGACATAAACAATGAAAAAACACCCAAAATTAGATGTAGTGACCATAATGTATTGGCTATTACATTAACAAAAACAATAAAACAATTTAATTCTGCAGAGCTTGAGACGTTTGAGTGGATCTAGAAAATTTAAAATTGTATTACGTTTCGTCAGTTTTTTATTTTTTGAGTTTCACAATTAATACATTGAACTTTTTTTATTGAGAATATTAAAACAAAATATGACCTCTGAAAGCCAAATGATACCCAGATCATTTGCTTAGAGTACTGTTTTATTTTTATAGTTGAGACTTTTCAGAAAATATGGAATCCAAGAAAGGGAACAACATTAAAGTAAAAAATAAAAAATAATTTGTACATGCAATTTCACATGATAAACAATTAATAAATATATAGACGCCTAAGGAATATAAATGTAAGCACCCATAGACTTTGAAAGGAGAGGAAGCTAACTTTAATAGCCGTAACACACTTCCCTAAATAATATTTAACTGCAGTGCCATGTAAAAAAAATGTCATGTTGGTAAATATATTGAAGCACTTAAATTCATTCAATTTTCGAGACATCAAGTAACAATTATTGATATCATCAGATTAATTTTTTAAAAATCTTTCAGAATTCAGGAAGAAATACACTCATGAACTACACATCATATTCCACTGCACTAAATACACTGTAATAAATACTTCCATACTAATTGGTTTTATATTAGTTTTCAATAGTCTTAAGAATATCTAATAAATGTGTTAGTTGAAAATCCAAATCAGGAAAATCATTTTTTAAAGCTTCTGCAACGCTTATTAATTCAGTATTTTTCTTGCGCTCAGCTTCAAATACTTCGTTCATTTTTGATTCATTTTGAATAAGTAGACGGTATTTTCCTTCTTTAACTTCATCTAACAATTTTGCATGACTTTGTTTGTAACTTAAGTTATGAATATTCTAAAAAAAAATAGTTCGACAATGAGTAATTAATTTATAATTTAAAATTTGTTTTCACAAAATCATTACAGTGTGGTTATTTTCTAATTATTTGTTTAAATTATTTAAATTTGGACAAATAATTAGAGCGAAGTTAACTTATTTGGTGCCGAAGACGTAAATAGCTGGGGGGCTTTTAAAAAGGCGTAGCTTTCCTTGAGCTATCATAAGTCCCGTCTAAGATATCTGGACTAATTTAGAATTTAATAGTAGGTCCAAAATATTAAAACCTATTGAGCTCAAACCCATTTATTTTTAGCTCATGTATTTTCAGGTTCTATTTACGTTTATAAAGTTGTCTATATTATTATCCATCCAAGCGACAATTTTTGTGATAATCAATATAATATAAGTACTATAAAGTATAAAAAAACAAGGGATTAGTTTTCTTCAGTGTATCTAACAGCTAAGAGGAACCAGTAAGCAAACATAAATAAAATAAAACTCGTGGACTGTTTGCCTCACACTCTTAAAGACTAAAGTGAAAACCGTCGATTAATAAATATCTCACCTGGAGGACTGATTGACCATTTGCTCACACTTGTATCTGGTATTAAAATTCTTATAAAAAAAAATGAACATTTCACTTTTTTGTTTTGTTTTAAAGTACAACTTATAAAGAACCTGTTAAATTTTCAGGTATTTCTGTTTTATCTACAGAGTAAGTACTCAATAAAAATTATGTAAAAACTCACAAAATAAAAATCTCTATAATAGCTCAAAAATTACTGAAATGTTTTAAAAAATTTGTTACACCTGTAAAAGTTGAATATAATTTTTCTGTCCAAATTTCAAGTCTCTACGAACAATCTGAACTGAATTGCTACAAAATTGAAAAAAATAAGTTGAGTAAATATTCCAGTTTTTCCCAATTATTATGAAACCCGTTTTGAAAATCAAAAATTAAACATTCTTAAAGTACCATCCAGATAAAATTTCCTTTCAAAAAAAGTGCTACACTTGAAATCATTCATCAGTCTTATTGACTTAACAAAAAATTATAAAATTGAAAAATAAACCATTATACAAACTTTTGTTTTTGTAGCACAAATATCTTCGATGTTTTTAATTAAATCATTTATATTTTTGTGAACTTCGTTTAATCTATCATCTGCATAGGCAATTTTACTTTCTAATTCCATTTTACTGTGTTCTAAATCATTCATAATTCGGTCTAATTTTTTACATTCCTGTCAAAATACATAAATTTCAGAATTACTTTTTAATTATTAATGAAGTTTTAAAATCTATAATTGAATCAAAACATTATATTATAATGATATATTGTATTATATCTGTATGCATTCAATATAATTTTCGAAACAACATATTCTAAGAAAATCTGTCCCAAAAAACAATACTTGTGCTTGGGTTGAGTGAATTCAAAAAGTGAACAGTTGTAACTTATCATAGACAAAGTATAACTAAATACTAATCAAATTAAACAAAAACCGATTACTTCCAAAAATCAAAATTATTTAAATATAATTAAGGTATTAAAATAATTTACTAACATTGATTTTGTTTTAAATCAAGTGATATCCATATTTAAATTTCTACACAAATCAATTCCTACACTAACTGTAATTTAATTTCCCGAATTTTCTATTAAATTTTATTAAATTTAAATTATTTTAGGTTTTAAGCGTGATTTAATTATTATGGTGCTATTGAACTAAATAACTATATACATTATATTTGATTTAATGAAATCAGACATTAATTCTTATTTAAGGTTTAAAACATGTATATTAAAATGTGCTTAAATATGTCGGAACATTTTTGACAATTGGTTAGTTAATCACAAATATATTATTACTGTCCATCAAGTAACTATTTGTAAAGCAATAATTGCTCGAATGTTTGATAGTTGAAACAGTGGGACACTAGTAGTTTGATTTCCCAGTAGGAACATATTTTCTTGACTTTTTTAGAATAAATAATTTTTTAACAATATACATATATATATATGTACGTATTTATAAGACTGGTATACAATAATATGTATTTTATACATATATATATACATGTACCAATTTGAACAAAATATAAAATAAATTTCAAATTTCAGGTGGTGCCTCAGTTAAAATAACAAAAGAATAATGATCTATAATAAGGATTGAAACTAGGTAAAACAAATTATGATATTCGGGGCATATTATAAGTAGTAAAATATTAATTCTAATTGATAAATTAATATTAGAAATCGGTGTATATTATGTATGCACCATTTTGATTTTTTTTATATTTAATCGTAATGCATCCATTTTTCTAACGAATTTCTGCCTGGCTTCGTTTTTTCCTTTTAACCGCACATCTTTGGCCGCAGCTTTATTATATATCATTTCACGTCTTGATATACACGTTTCTAAATCTAACATTATTATTTCCAAATTTTTTTTCAATTGGCTTTCTCTTATCTAAACAGAAATTATTACAAATTAACCAACCAGCTATGCATTTAAATAAAAAAAAAAAAGTGTATTCTGAATGGAACTGCTTTAAATACGTATATTAATAATATTCAATAGGTACATATTTATGAAAGTATAAAAATTATGCACAGTGAACCATTAGGTTGAGTCAAATAAGAGCTCTTTTCAATAAAATATTCATTGATTTCAGTGTTCTTTATAAATGGGTTCGTTTGTGTAAATTGTACATAACTATCACAAATTGAATTATAATTATTTGTTTTTTAACAAACTAATAAAAAAATATCGTCGTATATGTATAATTAAAATAATTACTTGTATGTTATTATTCACGCAATTGTTAAAAATGTTGTTTAGTAATCGAGTTTGTTATTTTACCTGCATTCTATGTATTTCATTTTTGATAACATCAATATCGCCCGAATCTCCCTCTTTTTTCTGAATTTCTTTTTTCATTTCAATAATTGATTGAACTTTAGAATCCCACGATCTACTTTCTCGCAGTTTTTCTGCATATGCATTTTTCATATCACCTAATTCATTTTTTAATGATTTTAATCGAGTCATGTGTTCTTGACACTGTCTTTCATTTTCCTGTATGAAATAAAAAATCATTGATAGTATAATTATATTCTATACAGATGTATGTACTATGAACAACATATTTTATAAAATTATAAATGCCCGACTAAAAAACTAGGTACATACAAATATCACACAGTACGCAATTAATTTTATTGCATTTTGATGTTTTATTACTATTTCTTAGATTGACCTAATGTATATAAAGAGTTAAGATTTCAAATAAAAAATTTTTTTATTTTTATTTCGATGTAGTAATCGTAAGTTGTTTGTAAATGTTAAATTGTAAATTATCTATGTAACTCATGACTTCTTTGTTATTATACATACGTGAATTTTAAATAAATTATAATCATTATAGGGCCTACATTTATTTGATTGTATTAGTATAAGATCATTAAAGACATAATATATTACCTATGTTACATTGTACGCATCAGTTGTCCAATGGTGTATGAAAATAAACATAATAATATGTAAACAAATTTCAAAAAATTTGTATATGAAAAAAATTTGTTTGAAATTTATACAAACCTTCAATTCAGCTATATGTGAACACTGCATCCATTCATTTTCATTTAACAATTGAGTACTCTTTTCTTTATTTTCATTAAAATGTTCGCCAAGTTTCATAATTGTATTTCTCAGGTTTGCAAGGATTCGCTTAAAATTATCAGATTCTTTGGATAAAGAAACAATTTCTAATTCTATTTTTACATTCTTTGTATCCAAAATCGAAATGTCTGAATACATAACGAGTTTATTTTATAAATATCGTAGGAAATTTATATTTGCTATTATCTATTTTAAATATAATTACATACATTTGCACACATCATTGATCTCATTAAATTGTTTGTTACGTTGATCTAATAACTTAACATTTTGATTTTGTTTTTGAATCCAAGATTCTTTTATGAAATCAATTTCTTTTTCAACATCGTTGATTGTATGTCTAACTTGTTTAATTTGCATTTGTGGCGTTATATCAGTCCCCTCCTAAAATAAAATAAAAACGCATATGAATAATATCAATTAAATATATCAACTAGACTTGCCTTCATTCTTATTTTGAATGTTTCTAACTGTTTGGATTCTGTATCAATTTGCCTTGTTTTATTTCTAATCTCAGTGTATATTTTTTTTAGTTCAGAATCTAAAGCAGATAATGCAATTTCTCCCTCGTTTAGACGTTTTGTGTTTTCTTCTATATTTTTTTCTAAATTATAACTTGTGTTGCGAAATTGTTCTAGTTTCAGTATGGCTTCTGACAAATTTTTCTCAATTCCAACTAATAATAACTCCTAAATTCAATGGATATTACGTAAATTATAAATAAATAATTTTAGTCAAATAAATCATACTTGCTCTTTATTTAGAATTTTCAGTTCCGATATTTTGTGATTTATTTGTGTAGAATAGGTATCGTTAAACATTTGTTTTTTTAATTCACTCAACGTCTCTTCTTCGTGTTTAATTTTTTCATTTGATTTTTTATTTAACGTAAATAATAATGAACTTATCTCGTTTTCAATCGATTTTTGATCCTGAAATAATTTTGTTTATAATATGGTATTATGATTAGTACGAATTTATTACTAATATATCTAAAATGCATACAATCAAAACTTGATTTAAATTTTGTTGTTGAAATTCGATCATTTGTATGAGCTTAGAATATTTTTGTTTCAAATTTTCAAATTCTTCTAGACAAAGTTTAAAGCTATTTTGTAAAATAATTTGTTCGCGTTTTAATTTATTTGAAACGTTGGTAAGGTCATAATTTCTAAGAAATTCTTCTTGAGTACTATGGTTGTAGCTATTGAATTCGGCTAATATTTTATGATGTTTATTTTTCGCTTCCCTAAAAAAATATATAGCTGCAATTAATAAACAACTATATTAAACGAACAAATTATTAGCGCTTTGTCTTAATTAACTATAAGACACCATATCTTATTAACCGATACATTAAAAAACATTAGAAATAAAGCATAGGTCAACAAATTAATTTTATAATAACTATAAGATATTTGTTACTGGAAATTATTTTTTATGTTTTGAAAAGATTTATCTTGTTGTTGAATATGAATTAAAACATCATTCCATAATAAAGTTATCTTAGTATTTTCCTCATTAATGGTATCGAGATCTGTTGAATTGTCCATAACAATTTGATTTAATAATTCTCTTTCATTATATTTTGTTTCTGCTTGTTCTCCCAATTGTTTTGAGTATTCTTCTAATCGCATAATTTCTTGTTTCAAAGACATCAATAACAAAGTCTAATCGTACAATCTCTTTCTTTTTTTAATCTAATTAAATTTTTATAGAAAAAAATAATATAAAAAATCACCTGTTTTTGGTGTTCATTGAATAATTTTTTCTTCTGCTGTTTTACTTGAGATTTTTTTTGATTGAATTTAGTAAATGAATCTTCTTGTTCTTTTTCATACTTGATGAGTTCGTTTAGAAGTACTTTACCACAATCAAGCTTTCTTTTTAAAGCTGTAACTAAATAATTATAAAATATTAAAATAAATATAATATGCATAGTAGTTGTATAAATGAAAATAAGTTATGTTCAATGTAGATACTACGGATTAACATATATTAATCCGTAATAGGTACCTACGTTTTTTTGTTTCCTCGGTAGTTTTTGTAGAAATTTCATTATATCGACATTTTCCTTGCGTAATATAAGTTTCAACCTGTTCTTTTGCTTCTTCTAATTTCAATTTCATTCTATGAAATTCACCCAATAAACTATGCTGATTTTCAACTCGAAAAGTTGCATTATTTACTTCAAAAATAAGTGAAGACTTTTCATTTTGTTTTAATCTAACTATTCCCTCCTATTAAAATTTACTTATGCAATTATTCTTAATAGAATTAACTATTTAATTATAAATTAATAAACTTACTTGTGTAAGTAATTCTTTTTTGATATTTTCTTTTTGTTTCAATAAGTGTTGTTTCAATCTATTTTGAAATCTCATCATAATAGGATTATCTGGTTCAAGCACAATCATTTGGTTATTTATTGTTTCTTTATTTATAGACGTGATCTCACTGTTTACACTTTCTAAATCTTTAGAAATACTTTCAGAGTCATTCATGCTTGTTTCTGATTTTGCTTCTGTAATTAAAACATGTAAATAACTATCAGTATGTAATTATATTTTATTCATAAATATATTGCAAGAAATAAAATTAAAATATTCATTTTCAGTGATATAATTCTACAATTCTGCTAATGCCGATTGAATCAGAAAAGAGATATTTTCAATATTTGAATATAAACATTTTAAAATTTTAATTAAAATATTTTACTTTCGTGTAGGTGTAACTTATAATATGACGAGATCTATAATATTATTATTATTTTTTTTTTACTCACCTACTAAATCACTATTAGAATCAGGATACTGAATAGATTGATGTGACATAATTCCGTTGGGATCTTCAATAAAAACATGTTCAAACTCATTTTGAACACTCAATGTTTCGACATCCTGAATAGGTTCAATTGACCTAAATCTATTAGAATCTTCAAGAGGAATATCATTTTCAATCTCGTTATGAATACTTTTTTCTTCGTCGCTTAACTTATAATTATTGTTCTCCATCGTAACTTCTCCAAATTCAAAAATGTAAACATTAAATTAAAATAAATAATATTATAGTATTTGATATTTGTAAAATTATGTATTATCTATGAGATTAACAGTTCTAAAACCATTGCATACAAACACAAATATTGGCTACTATAGAAACATTTATATGCTTGTACAGAAAAATTACGCTAAACATTTTTATTACCATTAATTATAACTTGAGATGAATTTCATCTAAAATTGGCAAATATTTTTGTTCTATCAAAACAATTGAATGTACATAAGACTTTACGCTCCAACTTTACCAAATCATCTTTCAGAAAAGATGTTAGAGTATTATTATCAAGAGTATTAACTATATGGCGGTGTAATAAAGGCTTGAATAATATTTATGTAGCTAAATTTAAAGGTACTGAAAATATTGAACATTTTAATTGTAAATAGATTATACAGACATAATGCATAGTATACATACATCCATACTATGATTGAAGGTATATCTTTTATCGTGATTCATACTTTAGAAAATGGGTAAACAAGAATCATGTGTCTATATTGTTAGTTATTTTTTACGTATACTAAGGTTTAGAAGTTGGAAAAGTTGTCCAGAGAAAAAGTGGTGTTTTTTAGTCGTGAACGATAAAGTTCATATATGATTGAGGATATTTCTGGAATAGTTTTGATATTTAGGTCTGTATGAAGTGTATGATTAGGATACATAGAAAGAGGCCTTATATAATAATCGAGCGTAAGGTAATCGATTGGAATCCTTATGCTCTGTTTAAATTTGACAGATTGGCCGCATCCCATAACTGGATGCCATAAGTCCAGATAGGCATGAGTATTTGCTTATAAAATAATGGTTTGGTTTTAAGATTGAACCATTAGAGTTTACATTTGCATTTACATAGCAAATAATACAGTAATTTTCTTCTGAGGTTTAGGATGGTACGTTTGATTTTTATATGCGAGACGCCCAGGTGAGACGCCTAGGTGTTTGGTCTAGGTAACGGACTCTGGAGACATTTAATTTTTTCGTTGTTTAGGTTGACTGAAGATACTTCACCTTTTTTTTATAAAAAAAAGTAAGATCTAATGGTTTAACAATGCTTTTTATTCCTTCTTTTTTTGTTCTAGACTGTGGACACGTTTTTTCCTAGTAAATTTCTTTTGATGTATAAGTTTAGTAACTTTTCTGAAAGCCCAAGTTGTCTAGATAGTATTTTAAAATTTATTTTTGATATTCGAAGCCATTTTTTAAATATAAGCACTTAAGTAGGAAAAAATGTAGGAAAACGTACAATTTCAAAAATTCATTATTTTATAAAAACACGGACGATGTTTACTACCAAAACAATTATTTAATCGAAAAATCACAAGACATTGTTTTTGTTGCCGTTTCAATTTCATTTTTAATTATATCTTTGCTAAAACTTTTGAACCATATTTGAGTTTTTTTTTGCTGTGATTTGGTTATAAATATACGTAGAGATTTGAAACTAAGTAATAATACTTATATTAGACTTTTCTAAACGTGGTAAAATTTCTAAAATCATTAGACGATTTTTTTTATTTTTTAACAATGGTACTTTATATTTTGTTTTTATACTGTAAATTTCTATTATCCTAGAAAACTTGCTCTGATGTATAATAAGAGTAGCACCTTTTCTGAAAGACAATTTTATCTACTTGGTAAATACAGTGATCATAAAAAACGGTGTTTAAAATAAAAACGATTAACCGGGAATAAAATTCGATTTTTTTCACGATATCCTAATTTTAAATAAGTTCCTACTACTTTTTCTAGCACAAATATGATAATAACTATAATTACTATAATAATTTATGGTTTACAAATATAAATGAAATAACCTTATGTATCCTACCTTCCCAAAATCCTACCTACAATAGTGGATGCACCTAACATCAGTATCAGCTTGTTTTCATTATTAATTTATATTACCATCAATTATACCAGAAAAATGTTTATTTTTTAAATTTATTTTTAGAAATGTTAAAGTAATTTAAAAAAAAAAAAAAAAAAACGATGAATTAGTTCTGCGGTCTATTCTCGCTCTCCAGAATAGTGTCCTGTTTTAATTTTAAAATAGGTGAAGGTGATTTTATTCTAAAACCAAAACACTAAGAGAGTTCTTCTCAGTGCGCGTAAGGTAAATTTTTGTGCATCACCGATTAGTGTGACAGCGCGTGCGGGTATAACGTCCACTTAAGACTTTGAAATTCAAACCGCGTCTGTTGGAAAACCTATAACACACATATACCGGCTGTTTATGGTTTGATTTTGAATTTGTTTCAACGACCGTAAAGTTAAAATAAATCAAATATTATTAGAGAAATGTTCTTAACGCAACCATTGGTTATAGGCGACTCTACCCCTACTCGTTTTTTGTCTTTTTCAGAGGTTACGGGGATGCCGTTTTTGTCGTCGAAACGGTTCCGGTCACAATAGTATTGTATTAAAAAGTTCGCCGTATTTTATTTATAATCGCGACAATATGCACATTATCGTATATAGTTTACAATGTCCAATACATTGTGTATCGTTATAAAGGCCTGTTTAAATTGTCTCCTGACCGAACTATAATAATACACGTACGCCATTTTTTTTCCCTCCAAAGAAAACTAATAAGGTATTTTTTACGGATTACATGTGTTCGCATTGTCGCGCAGAGACTAAAAAGAGCGAAGCCTTTTCTATTTATTTTTTGTCTGGTCCGTTTTACACGTCATTACAGCTGCGGTGAAACAGAGTGCAGTAAAGACAAAATGCTTCTATACAATATAACATAATAATATAGTAGGTTTTTATTATATTGTATACTTACAGACAGTGCTCGAATTTTCGGTAGGACGGACGCGGAACTTCTCTATTATTTTTTTTTTTAACGCCCCCCTTAGGCCAATTATTTCTATTGAGACGAACGGACATGCGTATTTTTTTTTTTTGGAAATAATGATATTTCCAAAAAAAAAAGTCCATTTAACTAATATTCACCCGAGTATTACATCGAAGAGGAAACGTGTTGAACCGTATAGGTACCTGGAGAATATTTATTCACGGTTACGAAACTTGGACAGTGGAGAATTCTATAATAAGAATATAAGAAAAAATGTAATCTGATTGGACACCTACTTAGACATTTCCTTTACAACATTGCTGAAAGCGACCGGCAGTCAGACCCTGGACATTATATTTTGAAAACGTTTTCCAGATTACGGGATATGTCTTCTTATTAGAATTAATTACTATGAATTAAGAAAGCGGTTTCCAATAGACAAACTCGATTACATCAACAACGATCCGTCTTTAGAGCAACACCATTCCCCCAGTGTAATGTATTAGGGGGTTGTGATTGGGCGAAGTCCCCCGCAGGTTATGTTCGATTGTTGTGCTGATGATGCTAATTTTTTTTTTTTTTTTTGAAGTTACATTATTATGTTGAACAATTTTCCCGATATTCAAGCGATGTTCCAACTATAAAGCAATAACCGTTAGATTCCGACTGGAAAAAAAACGAGTCGCAAACAAATGTTTATGTTTAAAACGTGTTTTTCGTAAACATCATGTTACATAATAAAAATAAATTATAAATAAAATATTCTATCATAATATTATTTAAGAACAAAACGACCGTTTAGACGAAATGTTCCTTTTTTGTTTTTATCCAAACGTGTTATATAGGAACTGTTTATTTTCGTTTATATTTTTACTAACGGATGGGAACTTTAAAAATATCTTCGGAACATAACAATACAAGTTGTTTTAAAATTTAATTTTTCGACCGTTTAAAAAAAAAAAAATGTAAACGTTTCGATTTTAAACAAAGTTTTCAAAACGCTTCACAGCCGGCGGGCGAGAGAAAAACTTCGAAACGTCACCAAGAACACCGCAATAATGTAATATACGCGTTGTGCGTGTAAAAAGAGTTCGCCCCCGGCCGCGTTTTTGTTTATCGTATTATGTCGCCGAGTCGTGTGTAGTTTCACGGCGAGCGAACGTCGGCCGCGAGTTTTGAAATTTTTTTTTTTTTTTTTTTTTTTTTTTTTCCGATTCGATTCCGTTCGCGTAATTTGTATTATTATAATAATCGTGTGTAGTGCGGGCGCGCCGCCGTGACAGTAACACAATGAAAACCGCGTAAATAAATGTATTATTTTTCACAAGAGTATCTTAATAATATATGCAAGTGTATTAATACGCGCACGGTACACGATACTCAAGTACGAGAGTGTACATTATTATATTGTGTGCGCGCGGGGTAGTTGAACGTATATTTTTTTTTTTTTTTTTTTTTTCCAAAGGCCTGTTGTCGCGATATTCGTCTGCCCCGCGCATAACACGATGCGCATAATGATATTATGCAATGCAGAAAAGGCTATTTATTGCTGCCGTCGATGCGCACTGTTATCGGTATGCCTCAGTACTGCAGAATGCAGTATGGACACACACTCGGATTTTTTTTTTTTGTTTTTGTAATTCCCCCCGCTCCCCCCTTGCGAACTACGGATACAGTATTGTTATATTGTTATATACAGTGCTGTAACAAAATACATAAATTTAGTGTCTGCACACAGACACAAGTATCTTAAGGAGTGTGATAAAAGATACATTTATGAAAACAGATCATTTTTTCATAAACAATAATAACACTAATATATTGCAACAATAAAATATTTACAATTTACATCTTAATAACTTATGGAGCAAAGCTTGTGCCGGGGGAGCAGTTCTTAACCGGTGAATTTATTAGTATTAATTTAAAGTAAACTATAAACAGTAATTGTTTAAAAGATAAAAGGAAAAATTATTATTTTTCTATGTACACATATTAAGTTGCAAACAGAAATTGAATAATAGATAAACCAAGACGCTCAGTATGAATTTCGAAAGACTACAAAAATTATTTACATTAATATTTAACGATTGACATAATTGTAAGCCTTGATATAAGTTACCCCTTTGACCGAAAACCTTATGGCAGTTGGTTAAG